CACCCACAGATGTTAAATTAGGCGTATATGCAACTCCGCGAAGTGCTTGTCCAGGTGTTACAGACCTAGCAATTCCAGTCGCTAAAAAAAAAAATAATAATTATACATCTCTTAAAATGGCCATACAATTCATTTTGAAATGTTTCCATATATAAGATGTAATTTATACTTTATCAAAAAATTCATTTATAAACCAGTTAGTAAAATGTCGATATAAGTTTCCTTGATTATTGATCATGATTGGTACAGAAAAATCTATGACAAAAAAACCCAAGTACAAATTACAAAAACGTAGATTTTTAGTAATTAATATCTATATATTGTTGATGTAGAAGACATTGCATCTGATGTTACATTATAATGATCATTGGCTACTACATATATCAGCTGAGCCAGATATGATGTTATTAATACCATTAGCGCTATCAATAATTTCTAATTCACGTTCATCACTTTCAGTATTACTAATATTAGATGTTTTTTGTTGTAAGTAATTTGGACACTTTTTCAAATATAATTTAATCCGCTCTATTTTTATTCTTCCAGAAATAATTTAAATGTGACAATATTTGCAACGCTTATCAGTAATATGGTCCCATTCTTGACATTTTCTTCGACCACCACCATTATTAATTCCAAAAATAGTTCGTCGTCCGTTACCTCTTAGTTTTATTATTATCATGATAATTATACAGATTAGGTGCTGTAACTTCGAAACTCACGTAAATGATATTAATAAAATCCTAATCCTAAAATCTGGTAGTATCTGTTTGACGATTTTTTGAGTTTATGTTTTTGTCGAACAGATACTACACTTTTAAAACAATAGATGGCTGTACTAGAGTCCTAGAACAAAAACCCATAAAAACCCCCAAAAAGTGGTTTTTCTGAAAAAACTGGGTTTTTACCAATTCTGTTATTGTGTGATGTATAAATAATATATTTATTAGGTAATATAAATCACAAATAATTGAGATGTATTTACCAACAAAATCAACTGCAAACATTACAATTCTTGATTTGAATCCTTCTCAATGTGAAGTCAAGTACAAATTACTGATTTAAAATATAGATATATTCAAAGATATAATTTTTTAAATTTTATATATATAATATACTAATATTAAAAAATATCTTACTTGGTCCACTGACAGGAACACTGGACACTGTCGCAGTAGGCTGAACAACTTTACTGCTAACCATAGATGTCCCTGTACCTAAGACTGTCCCTTTCACTGTAAAAGATGTAAAAAAAATTACAAAACATTCAATTTTTTTAATAATATCTAACGCATATTTTAAAAACGATCTTGTAACCAAGTCTTTTTATCATTCATATTATTTAACAAGATCTTCTTTAATACGTGTAACTTCTATTTTTATAACTTTGCATACTTGTTTGTGGAGCACTAGCCGGCCTGAGCGTCGGCATGGCAACCAAGTTCGCTGGTTTTGCAGGCGGTGGTGGTGGAGTTGCGCCAACTCCTCTAGCAGGACCGCGAGCCTGCGATTCCTTCCACGTGTCCATTTCGCCTCGTAATTTTTCTAATTCTGTTTCAAAGTCCTTAGCTCTCTTTTCCTCTTTTACGAGAGCTTGCCGATATTGTTGCCTTTCCATATCAAATTGCGCTAATTGCTTCTCCAATTCAGCTTCCATCTGCAGTGACTTTTTACTCTCTTCTTCGAGACCCTCAGCCATTGAATCTATTCTAACCTTCTCTTCACTGAGTATTTGAGCTAAATCCTCAGATCGTTTTCTCTCCTCAATGTATTTCATAATAATCTTTTTACGTTCTGCTAAGAGAAGTAGGACTATCTGCTTCTGTCGATTCTTTTCTTCCTCGAGATGATCGTTAACTTTCTTTAACTCCATTTCTAATCTTTTCTTTTCTTGTTTCTCTAATTCTAACTCCTTCTTTAATCTTGTTCGCTCTTTCTCAAGACCATAAGTGATATCGTCACCTTGAGCGGTATCATGTTCGTGTTTTCGCTTCTCTTCTTCCAATTCTTTAATTACCTAAAGTATTTATTTATCATATAAATAAAGCAATGATAATTATAAAACAAGAATTAATTACAATAACACTATTTTATAATATCTTATAATATTTATGTCGTATACATCATATTATTACTAAATAAAACAACAAGTACGACAAAAATAAGCGTACCGCTCTGTGCCTAATTTCTGCATCTCTAAGGACTTTAGTCATTCTACATTGCGCCTTTCTTTGTTGCGTCACTAGTGCTTCAAGACTAGCGACTTGTTGATCAATTTGATTTCCTTCAACACCAATAACACCACCTACTATCGCAACGTCGCGAGCTAATGCCGCATGTGGATCTGCAGTGCTACTAAGATACCGGGAACTTAAAAGGTGTTTCATTTTTTCTGACTGAAAAGAAAAATGATAATAGTTATACAATAAGCCAAATAACATTATGTAATATAATCTGGAAGTTAAGAGACATGATTAAAGACTTGGAAGATTAACACGTTTTTAAATAAATTTTTTATCTTTTATATCATTTAAAAATGGTACAGTGAGATAATACCCAAGTGGCAAAGTAACGTCAAATGAGATTTTTAACATCAAAGAGACGTTATTAAAATGTTATCTTGTTACTTGAATAGTATTGAAACAAAACGTCACTGTGCATATATGTTTTTTACAATTGTGATCTAATAATTTTATAACGTGTTATATTATCCAAGCTGAAAAACTTGCTAGTTTTAGTTAACAAAAAGATTACTGCAAGGTGCTTTCAAAAGCAATTCTTTAATAAAAGCTGTATAATTTTGATTACTTTTAATGCTGCTATCACTATGTCTCTTGCTTGGAGCTCGCCTTCCAGATATCCCAGTAACTTTAGCAAATCAGTTTTGCTCAGCTCCATCTTTGGATTACGCTACAAATATATACAAAGCAATCATTAAACATTCTACAAATTTATATTAAATATACAGGTATAATTGGAAACTAAATACAAAAAGAATAACAAAAAGAGCCAACTTTTTATATTCCTTTTTGTACCCTCTAAATTCTATGGAGTAGAATCCTTACTTTAAAGAATAAAAATTGAGCCAAACATGGAAAAGTGTGACTCAATTTTCAAATTTTAAGAGTGAGATTTCAGTCTTCAGAATAAGATTCACTCTAAAAGTTTTAAAGAGTATCTAGTTTTTATAACTCTATCACACATCATAGTTTACTAGATATGCAAAGCTTTTTGTTTAACTTCAAGAGGATGTATACCAGGAGTATGTACCTTGAGAGTATTGGAGGAATTCTTGTCCAAGGGTTCGATGTTGTTGGTTTGCTGTTGCAATTGTTGCTGGGATTGCGATTGTGAGGGCTGAGTACCAGAGGTGAGTACCTTTGCAGCCGAGATAGTAGCCGCACTGGTCAGGACGGTGGTGCCCGACGACGGCGCCGACGTCGACGGCGGCCCATTTGCCGTCGTAGTCGTCGTCATCGTCGTCGTCGTTGTCGTTGCCGACGTTATACCGGGCGAAGAAACATTGACGGCGCCCTGATTCTGCGATGCCATTGTTGCGCTCTAACGTAGAGGGTATTCTATTTACCTTACCCTATCGTCGACGAGGACAAGTGGTTGTCGCCTGGCTACGGCGCGACTCGGTAAGAGCGACCTCGTGAAACTCGCTTGCGCTCGTTCGCTCGCTCGTTCGCACTTTGCCTGAGCGCGCCCCAAGCTGCTCCTACGTCGGCTTCCTCACCCCTCGATCCGGAGATTCGCCACGGCCGTCACGGGACGCACGAGCACCCCCGCTGGACATCCAGCGGCCCAGGACGCTCGCCACATCGCCGACACGGGACCGATGGCCACGCGTTCCTCTTCTTCTCGTCGTCGTCGTCGTTGTCGTTCTTCTCTCCGTCTTCCTTGTCCTTCTTCTTGTCGCCGTCGTCGTCGTCGTCGTCGTTCTCTCGTCGCCGGTATTTTGGTCGTTACTCCGATCGTCGGATCGACGCTTCACGCCGACAAAAACGGATTAACGTGGCGGCATCCGGCGCGACGAGTTGCTCTGCCTTTCGCTCACGCTACGCTCGTTCCCTTTGGTTCCCTTGACAAATCAAGCGCACAAAGCGCAGCCAGTTCTACGGCACGGCCAAGCGGAATTCGATGGATCGTCTCCTCGTGAAAAGCGCTCCGATCTACTATCGATTCTACACCGAAGCCAGATATCGAATGGTCGACGATCGATCCAGTCGCGGTCGCCGCGGCGAAATATGAAATGCTGAGGATATGACTTCACAGTTTGTTCTTTTTTCTCTTTGAGAGAAATAGCTAACACGCTCGACGTTTATTTTTAGCATCAAAGTAGAGACTAAAATTGATCTAGACAGTAAAAATGATAAGAATATATACGTATATAGTGTCCTTGAATATAATAATTTGACACTCGTAAGTTGGATTTATAAGAGTTCTTATTATAACAGGATCACTATTATATATGTATACTACTATATATAATATACTTATAAAAATTAAAAATAAATACTAGTAAATATTTTTTTTTTGTTCTTCTTATTTCCTTTTTACTGTTTTTCTCGTAAAAATTGATATATTTTCAATACTTTGAAAAAAATTGATAATATACTAATATAAAATATATAATAAAATCACCATTTATTAAATTTTGTATTAGTATATTATTAATTTTTTCTTGCTATCTTTTGATACACATTTTCTTTAGTTTTCCAACATTCTTTAGCTTACACATTCTTATTTGTGGACTCCTAATGGCCACGCAATATGTTGCATTAATACTGAGTCCTGTTTTGTCTCTTTTATTTTTAATTTGATAAATTTTGAATTTGCGCGATAAATGGAGCAATTTCTCTACAGTGCCCTCTCTCGCGGATAATCAAGGTTGCTTACCGCAACGACATCTCTCGTTTCTACAATGGTAGAAACGAGGGAGAACTAGCAATTGGGGAGGGGAGAACCGTCCAGAACCATCTGATCTGGGAGTCTGGAACCATCTGGTCGGAGCTGTCGTATGCATATGGTGCCATTCGTATTTGTTATCGTTGGTGTTACGCGGATGGTGCTGTGGGTGCTGGTCTCGGTATAGTCTCCTCCGCGGTGCGAAGCGCAAAATGGGCAACCAGGTGGCACGCGTCGGGAACATGTCGTACAGGAAGATGGAATCCGCGACCGGTAACGGGAATCACGGCGCGAACGTCACTGCCTCCACTGCCGCCGACGTCGTCTCTAAGAGCGAACCGGACGATCACACGCAGTTCTTCCCGATCGACAGCCTCGCCAAGGTACAACGGCTCGCTCAGTTAGTTTAAAATCGTTCTCGAACCTCAATAGCAGACCGTACTCTTGGTGCCCTGGAAAATCATTCGGGAAAAACATGGAAGCGATACATCCTCTGTTGCCAATCATTTCTACAGCTGTTTGGGAAAACGGCAAAAACAATCTCTTGCCACCTGGTTTTTTTATTTACTATTTTCCTCATGTTGATATATTTTTTATTGTCTGCACTGCGACTCTAGAAAGTCATTTCATGTTCCTCATGCAATTACTTTGAATATTTTTATTATAATTCCTTAGATATTCTGAAATCATATCTTTCTTTCTGTCAATTGTAAATTGACTTTTAAAATATACGACTGTAAAATGGATGATTATATAGAGATTAAGTCTTAATCAACTACCTAACTTATTTTTAAAAACGTTTGAGAATATTAAAAAATCATTAAATGACAAATTATTCATGAAAAAATATTTTACTTGAGATAGAATATTGTGAAATTAGAGAACAATTACATTTCTCATTTTTTTTTTATTTTGAGATCTTGAGCTTTTCCATATTTCCTGTGTTTTATTATATCATTTCTTTGCATACAGGTTAGTAATCATATATCTTATATGTACCTAGCTGTAATCAAAAGCTAACATTACCTCACTAGTTTGATTTATATAATGAAGACATGTAATCTTCATTTGCAGAAGTATAGAAATTATTTTTACTGCTTATATGTTTCTGATACATTTAATGATTCTTATTTTACAAACATGAGTATAGAAATTGATTAAAATGTTCCTTGAATTAAATTTTAATATTTTTACAACTGACATCCAATCAAAAAACATGCATACAAAGAGAACTCATTCTAACCAATCAAAACCTCATGTTGGCGAAAATACTTTTATTTGTTAACAGTATAATTATAGGCTATAAACCAAGCTCAGTCCATAAGAAGTCTGTAGCAGAAGTTGATAAGGAAATATATTGTAGTTACAGAGATATCCAATTACAACCGATACGCTTCGGTGAAATGCATACTCCCTCTGTTTTTGGACCAACCTTCGGTTGGCAGCAATCGCGCGGGAGTAATAATTAGTAATATTACTAATATTAATACACAAATATATATTTTGCAGATATTGTCTCATCTCACTTACCAAGAGGTACATGTTAACGGCATTACCAAGTCTGTATTCGAAAAGTACTTATTTCCTACTCATCCTGAGCTAAGCGAGAAGCTCTTCACTTATTTTCACCACAATGCTCATGCCACAACTGCATACATAAGTACAACAGCTTTCAAGCAGCAATCGGAGAAATTTTTGTCAGTACTGAACGACCAAGCTATACTGGAGAATTATGTAAAGATATATTCTGACCTAAAAAATACTGGCAATGTTACTCCTGAATCGTTGCGAGCATTATTAACATCTTGCTTCGAGCTAGCGATGGAAAACAACAACACCAGTTCATGCCCTCCTTCGCAACAGATATTAAATGCAGTTGTCATTTCATGTGTTAGTAAATTTATTCATTCAACACAGAGAGAGAATAAATATATAAATATGGAATTTAATTATTATACAGTGTAATCATTTATAAGTTTGCACGGAATTTGAATTAGCATTTTAAATGAATAGTTCATATCACTAATGTGCAGTATGTAATTATTATATCTAAAAATATTTTACAGTTTCATGGCAAGACTAGCTTATCTACGAGTTACGTGAGTAATTGGATCGGACAGCATTGCCCACGCCTTGTGTACGGCCTACAGCGATACATAGTACACGTATTAACAACTGCTTATCGCAATGGTAAAACGCTTTTATCAAAAGAGCAGCCGCAATCTTCTGTAGATATTAAAAAAGTCCGTGCCCTACCCGTATTAGAAAAATCCGATCAGGAGTTCCTGCAAGTGGACTTGTTGCCAATAAGCTACGTCTGGCTATTGTCGTGTGCATTACCACAGTGTTACTTCAAGGTACGTTATCGCAGAGCAAGTAATACGAATATTCAATATTATTCTGCCTGTAAAGTATTTTGCATAAAAGGATTAATTATTGTCAATAAATTTAGTATTATATACATAATTAGATCTATGTATCTATGCGCGTGGTGTGTATGTGTAGACCAAGGATGCACCGAAGGACATAACTCACGCTTTGATAGCCAAAAGAACAGGCACTATTTGTCCAAAGCATTGGACGTTACTGTACAATAGCGGAGAGCATGGGACCGGGGCTAATCGCTTCCTTCACCATGTGTTAGGTTACAGAGGACCCACTCTGCTAATTATAAGAGCTGCTAATGTAGAGAGGAATGCGGAATGTCCAACGTATTGTGTATGCTCGGCCGTCGAGTGGCGAGAAAGTCATCTCTATTGGGGCGACGAAGATTCAATAGGCATTCAACTGATTCCGTCCTATAAAATCATGGAGAAAGGTCCAAAAGTACTATATTTGAATACGAATATTAGAGGTTATCCACATGGTTTACGATTCGGTAGCGATCCTCGTTCGCCGCTTATCAGTATCGACGAATCATTTCACTTCGTGACTATTGCCGGCGCGCCTTATAGCATCGCCAGTTTAGAAGTTTGGGGTTGTGGCGATACAAAACTAAGGTAATGTCTTGCAAACTGTGAAATAAAATAACGCTTATTGAAATGCAAAAAGTGATAACAAAAGACGCTAATACATTTACAGAGAGAAGCAATTGGAGATTAAGAAATGGCAGGTGAAAGAAGCGGAGAAACAGAGGGTCGTCAAGTTAAGCGCGAGCGATTGGTTGGACCATCCTGATCGTTACTTACTAGAGTTGGCTGGTAGAACTTCTTACAACGAATCTAATAATTAGAGCCGCAAAAAAATAATGTGCGTGCTTAAATAACTGCTCATATTATTACTTTATTATTTTACTTTGTAAATATGTATATAGCGTCAAAGATATCAAGAATTTCTGTACTTATGTGATGTACGAAGAACGTACGTATGAGATGTGATTACGTGACTTACGTGAAATACAGGGACTTATGCTTGACGTACTTAAGCACAAGTGTCACTTTGCAATTGTCTAATTTTCTCTTTTTTAGTATTTCCTTATAAAACGATATTATTTTTTTATAAGTGCTTTTCATTTAGTAGATTTATTTATGAAGATTATTTTTAAAAGTATTATTCTAAAAAATTTTTAATTTTGGAAATTATATTATCTGATTTTCACAAAATAACTCGGTAAATTTTATTTTAATAATCAACTTGCATTGTCTTCTGATATTTATATAAAGAAAAAGATATGCATATAAAGTTGAAAATAAATATATTTTTGTACAAAACTCGTACATATTTGTATATTTCACAAGGTTTTCGTTGATTGTACATTGGTGCGTGATGTTATTTTTGATATAAAACATAAACAAAACGCAATTATTAGTTTATCAATGTTTTTCATTGTTACAAAAATTCATTCGATTAGTCCTTGAATTCTTTATCGCGATTGTCAATTCTACGAATAAGACTTTTCCAGCTAAAGTCTTCCTCGCCATCTTGCAAATTTATCACATTCTTCTCCTCGATAACGTCAAACAAGTTTTTAAATGGCACATATCTGAGTAACGTAACTTTATCAGCGATTATAATCAGCTTGTGCCTTGCGCGAGTGATGGCTACCGTCAAACGTCGCTGATCGTTCAATATTTCAAATTCTTTCTTCGTGTCGCATTCGACACTCTTCGTACAAGAATACAGTATAACATCCTTATCACGTCCTTGATACTGATCTACGGTGTTTACTTCTATTTCTTTATCTATGATCTTTTTTAATAAATTGATATGAGCATTGTAAGGTGCAATAATTCCTATATTTCTAGCGCACACGCCCGCCTCAGTGAGCACTTGAATGAGACGCGAAGTAATAGCGACTTCCCAAATGTTCGAGTACGTTTGATCGAACATAACGTTTCCATTATCAAACTCTGCGTTCAAATCGTAAGTGCTACCGGTATTGAGCACCACCACCGAATCATCCAAGTTCCTAGAGAGCGCACTTCTCACCCACCTCTCGCAGGATGAGAGAACTTGCTCCATATTCGTACCAGTCAAAGTCGCGTTCTCCACCTGCTTGTTGCCGGATACCAGCTTACCGCGATACGTTGCTTCATTGGCCAGCCTCATAATCCTTCCATTCATTCTGTATTGCTTCCACAGATTGACAGTGTTGTCGTCGCTATCCAGCCTAACAAACAGAGATTCATCTGCGCCAAGTTTCGCGGCGGTCTTGTTCTTGACAATGGGCGGCAGCTGATCTGGGTCTCCGACGAGGATAAACTTGCGTGCGCTGTACAACGGTCGCAATACCGTAGGCAGCATGATTTGCGCGCTTTCGTCAACCACGCATACGTCAAAACTGCATCTCCTAAGAAGCGCATGATACGCGCCGTAACAAGTTACACCGACAATGCGTTTGCTGTTATAGAGTGTCTCCAGTTCCTCCGGCGAATCGCAACTCGCGATCGCGTATTCCTCGCTCTTGCATGTTAATAGAGGATGGATCTGCTTTGTCGAACCGAGACGTAGAAAGTCGATGTTCCGTTCCAGAAGTTTGAGAAGAATGTTGTCCACCGCGCTGTGCGTATGCGCGGTAATTAACACGCTAGAACCCAACTCCTGCAGCAACTCTATCAGGGCTACCAGCGTCTGTGTTTTCCCTGTTCCCGGCATACCTTTTATCAGAACATACTCTTGGGCAGCTATTGCCTTTAGCACAGCTCTCTGTTGATTCTCGTTTAAATCGCTTATTATTCTTGTGCTTGTTGATACCACTGAACGTGGCAATTTTTCCACAAATGTCGCCGGTTTCCTATCGATAACGATGCATCGAAGCTTGACGTATATTTCATCGTTGTTCAACAGACCGGCCACGTTCGCGTAATTGAATGTTGACAGCCCTGTAGAAGGGTATTTATCAACATGAAATGTAGAGTTTGCATATAATTGAGTAATATCTTTGTCCAATAGGACCGTAACGATGTCATGCGAAACGTGCATTATATATCCGGCAGCTATATTAACTCGTGCATCCGTGCTAATAATAATATAACTATTCTCGGAGAATGTACTGCCAAGTATACCGTTCTCGATAATTTCCTCCTTAATGTTGACGCGTGCAAGCTTATGTTCATATCTATCATCTTGCTTTATCACCTTACCGACAGTCTTCAAGTTGCAGATACATGTTCCTTTCGCCTCCCTCTTCTCGGGACTCATCGTCCATACGCTGCTTAAACTGCTGTTACTGTTCTCGTAGCTTTCTTCCAACTGCAATAATGCGATCCACTTCATAATGTAATCCAAATGACTAGTTTCAATGTTGTCCTGCACTTCTTTAATTAGCGCTGTTAACGGATGAGACATTGACAAATTCACGTTTGGATCTCTCGCCAGATACGCACAGCACAGAGTCTGATAAGGACATCTGTTGCACGCACTGTGATGATTTATCGGTTCAGGTAATTCCATCGTCTTTAAGTCCAACTCCGAGTTAATGCTCCATAGATCTTCGGGTTGTTTAGCGAAATAATGCGCCAAGGTATTTCGCAGCAGTATCAAGTCCCTCTTCTCGTGATGTCCGCTCTTAATTTCCTGCATCGAATTTTCCTTTAAATATAATAGAAGTCCAGTATCGATATCTTGGTCTCTGAAACCCATCATCATAAGATAAAGAATAACTTGACCCTTGTGCTCGAGAGAGTAGGAGGCTCTTCCAGTTTTCAACTCCAAAGGCATGATCTTCCTTCTTGAATTAATAGTCACCTCCGCCGTCACATCTATCCTTCCCTTTATGCCCAGCTGCGGTATATAAACTGTCTCCTCGATGTCTCGGATGTTATTAATACTCCCTTGAAAGTTATCCTTTTGATTGCTTATGTGATGCTGTTTGTTACCCATGATATAATGCTGAATAAAATTGAAAATTTTCGGAGCGTACTCCATCATGCGTTTTCGACAATCAACAAGCGACATTTCTGACGCGTAGAGATAGTCTAACGTGTCCTTCGATCGTAATATATCGTCCAACAGTTTGATCACGTCGGACAGGGCGCAGATATTCTCTCGCAATGCCTTTTGTAGCCATTGATGAACCAAAGACCCCACAGTCATAACGGAATAATCGGCGTTCAAATCTGGTAGTGATTCAATTTTCCTGAACTTTTCAGTCAAAACCGCTCGCCTGTTACAAAATAAACCACCCATTATTGTTGTGCCCGATATTAATAAATCAGGCTGTGTAATGAGAAAACCATTATTATTATCCACAATCCATTGTTGCGAACCCTTCGTAGCCTGTATCGTAACAATATCATTAATCTTTACTTCTGTATCTTTCCAAAATCCTGAACATGCAACAGTGTCGATACTTTCAGATTTCAAGTGCTGTACCGTTAAAACAGTGACTTTCGATTCGTGCTTCACGTTAATTATTTTACATCTCTCCAAAGTAGTAAAATTAATCTGTGCATGCCACTCTTTATCAAAGAAATCATCAAGCTCATCTCCATTTAATATCACAGAAAAGTCTTCAAAAGATTCTGTTTTTTTTAAATTATGTAATATAGTTTTTCTATGCTCAGGCATAGTTTCCACAGCAGACGTTAAAGTAACAATATTTAAGTCTTGTTCTTTAAGAACATGACTATTATTGTCAGTAACATCTAAAACATTTACATTTTTAATTGTGACAGAATTTTGTAAAATATTTACACTTTGCTTGCTTTTCACTGTAATATCAACTCTCTTTTTAACTTCATGAAGTACTGCATCTTTGCACGTAACTTCATTTTCGTTAAAATTACTATGCGATTCTTTAAAGTCCTTCAATACAGATAATAATACTGAATCATCGTGTGATTTGAAAGTTTCAGTCTTTATAGTGCAATATTTGTTTAGTGGCTCTTCCTTGACATGACATTTCTTTTTAGCACTTACATGGAATTCTTCTTCAAATGCATTATCTCTTTCCTTTCTTTTTTTTTCGACTGTAGCTTGAAATAAAGAATTTTTATCTGATGTTTTATTGTCGTCTATCACATTTGGAATTTTTGTAAAAAATGACGATATTTTTGTCTGAGATTTATCGACATTATTAGAAATCTATAATAAAATAGAGAAAATTCTGAAGTAGTTTAACAGACAAATTTAATACATTCTCTCTTCATATAAATACAAATTGCTAATACATCACTATCTTCTCTTTTAAATGTACTAAACATCTTCCTAACAAACACCAATTATATATAATTATTAGTTATAATTTTCCATTGAACAATAATTAATTATAGTATATATGGTAAAATATAACATAATATTTAACGTAGTTATATAATACATAACAATTATATTGTCAAGTAGAAAATTATAACAGTTCTTCTGCTATTCAGAATGGCTTTTTAACCCACACGTAACTAATAACTACGTCATACTATGTATGATTAGTTGATATTTGCTAAGCTAAATCTTACCAAAAATTCCGAATTGAAAAAAATACTTTAAAGTATTATTTTATAATAATTTTCAGTATTATCTTGTAATATAAAAAGTAGCACATAAAAAGAAAGATGGTAATGATTATCAACATGTAAATGTAGGTTATAAATAAAACACATTTTGTTTACCTTTCTCTGTGACAATTGACGTTTCTTCATATTTGTGTGTAATATGCGCTAAGTGACTCTCTATATATTTTATAAATATCAATCTTATCAAATCCTACGACGCAAGAATTTCGTTCCCGCGCAAACATTTCTTATTGCCATTGAAATCAATCACCATTTCCAGCAACATTTCAGTTCCATATGGCCTGCGCGCACAAAAAAAAAACAAATATTATAGTGTTCTTTCCAACAAGCGACACAGGCCTAGTTTATATCAAATAACATTGGTTCCGTATCGATCTCCTATTGGCCTGGTTTACATCGTGCACTTGATACGCGTACTAACTAGTTACTTTCTATTGAATTATCTTAATTTCAGCGATATATGTAAATGTATACACAATTAAACGTATTTAGTTAAACATTTTGATGCATATTGTATCAATTTTATACATCATTCTTTAAATACATTGCTGAAATTAAGATAATTTAATAGAAAGTAACTAGTTAGTACGTGTATCAAGTGCACGATGTAAACCAGGCCATTGAGCGCTCAATGAGTTTTTTTATCTGATTGGCATATTCCATTAGGAGATCGATTCTGTATCTTGAAACAAGGTGAAAATTGCAAAAGTGAGCGAATTTACTAGAACATTTATAATTTCATTGGTCAGTACCTAGTAAATTTGCTCACTTTTGTAATTTTCACTTTGTTTCGAGATACAGAATCGACCCCCTGATCTAAAAATATAAACCAAACAGGTACAAGAGCTCACTGAGCGCTCAAAGAGTGGTCGTGCTTCTGGATGCACTCAGTGCAAATCCAGCAATTCGGATTGTGCGCACCGTATCAGTGTGCGCAGATTGTCGTATTCGGCAAATGAAAACTGACCTAGTGTAGTGCTAAATTTGTCATTGGGCACATACAGCGGACTCAACAGTTAAGTAAGCGCTCGCTGTTATTCTTTTAGATCATCCAATCAGAATTTTAGATCTGGAAGAATACACTTTACCGCGTACCGCGCTGCATGTAAAATCACCCTAATGCTTTAGTTCGGGGCCTAATGTAGGATTCACACTGCATCCGAATTTATTCCGAATCCGATGTGCGTACCGACTACCGCCTAGAAGTTACAGCGTAGACAGTGTCCGCTTGCAATATTTCTAACCCATTTTAAATTTCGTTCCTGTTGGACCGAAAAGTAACGAGACGCATGCGCATAAGATCGAAATACATGTAGAAGACATGGCGATTGTAGGACTGTGGCTGCGGTCGAGTTGCCACTACGAATGCTTTGAAGCGTTTCTTGATTGGTCAGTTTGTATAACTCTTTCTTTTGATTGGTCAATCAAACGCTTCAAAGCATTCGTAGTGGCAACTCGACCGCAGCCTGTGACAGATCTCCTAACCTGAATAGACGTCAACTTTAACGCTCAATATCTCGGTTCGCGTGGCAGAGCGACACTTATTTTTGCCAGATCTTTCGTTTTATGCAAAAACGCGTCGAATGAGCCTAATTTTATCGAAATCGGAGGTGTTGAGGGTATTCTGTATAATTACCAAAAATATTTGATAAAAAGAGTACGATCTTATGATCACTTATAATAGAAACGAAGTACTTTAATATAAGATACTATAAGACGGAAGACTATGACTAGGCAAATGATGCAACGGATGATTGTGAATCTTCTGCTGAAAGCTCAGTCACCGCCTTTTTTGAAACCGACTCTATTGCTATATATGAACGGTTCACCCTTTGTCAAAGCCGTTTTGCAGAGTAGAATGCTGTGTAAGCATGTAGAAATAGTAGATCACACCTGTAAGATATCAACTTACAACGATTACCTTATGAATTATAAACCGATTCAGCGGATCTTAAGGAACACTCTTCAAGAATTACTGGATATGACAAAAATAGATATTATGAAAGTTATCGAAGAATATCCGCAACTAAAGAAGAGATCTAGGGCAGATATTCTGAACAATTATTACAATCTGATTAAGGCTGGCATACATAAAGATACTATCATAAACAACATCTGGTTACTGACACATGAACACAATAAATTAACAGATAAGCTTGATTGTGTCAAAGTTTTAAATTTAGATAATAACCAGCTTGTACCATGGCTATGCTTGACTCAAGGGGAACTGGCAAATTATGTACTTTATACTCAAGAGAATATGGAGTCTTACACTTATAACAGACTGGAATATCTTTCTCACAAATTAGAGGTACGAGTAAAACTAACATAAGGGATTTCAATTTTAGATATATAATAGTTGTGACCAATATTCTTAATAAATTAATATTTAAAATTATTTTTGAGACATTCCATAAAAAGTAATTTTATTTAAAAAAAAAAAACTGTACTTTTCTTAGGCTTAGAATATAAAAGATTGAACATTCTCTCTCTCCCTTCTTTTTTTCCTTTCCTTCCTCTATCTCCAATTATATTTTTGTAGAAAAATATTTAAAGTAAAATTAAAATAGAGGTTGGTGAATAGTAATATATCATATACAGCATATTTTATGTGTTACAAAATTGTTTTTTTTTCCAGTGTAGCATACAACAATTATGTGAAATAACAGTACCGAATTCATTCTTATTAAAAATACCAATTTCTTCTATAGACAAAAAATTAAACATATTGAATGGTAAGTTAATAATAGTAGCATTATTAAATAATAGGGTTTAATAATATTACTGACACTATAAATAGCTGCAAAATTTCTTTCTTTGTTTTATTTATCTATGGCATTAGATGTTTCCTTGCAAATATATTTCCTGCTTACAAGATTATAATTTATCCTCCCTCTTTACTTTATTATTTAATGATCATAGATACTTATTTGTCTCCCTATAAATATTGCATGTAGCAAAATATTGCAGTAGCTACCTATGTCTATATTTGTGTATTAATAAATGCATTAGTAGTAAAATATAAAATTATCTCTAAAAAGATTAATTTTAAATAACTTTGCCTCCTACAGAATATAATATACAAAATAAAGATATATTAAAAGACATATGGGTACTTCGATACAGTGAAAATCATATACGCCATAGATGTGAGTTATATAAAGATACAGGAAGATTAAAGATAAAAACATGGGCTATACGATGTTCGCTGCAAGTTATATCAAGGTAGATTAATAAGATTGAATATGAAAAATATCTTATTTCTAATATTTTCATTATATTTTTTATGAAATTATTATATCAAGTTATTTTTATTTTAAAAAATTACATTTTAAATATTGTCATTTATTAACTTCTGCAGTTTCTACTAACTTTTTATATTATTTATATATACATATTTATTTATTCTTTAATTCATACAAAATAAAAAAGATGTACAAATGTTACATATATATTGGAATATCTAAAAATAAAGAGTATAAAATATTGTTTGTTCACACATAGAGCTATTAAAAAAAATAAGGTGGAACGTAGCTTAATGCAACATTATGGAAATGTTAGTGAATATTTACAAAACAAATTGAAAGTCGATGATGAAATACTCAATTCAGTGGTCCAGAAAATACCAAGTATTTTACGGGTGAATATAGCAAAATTGGATCAGTTAATCAATATACTACATCAGAATAGTATTACTAGCGATGAAATATTACGGTATCCACGAATCTTTTATTTTAATACAGATACCATACAGAATCGAATTGCGATTTTAAAGAAAACAGATCTTGTTCCAAAACTTACTGTGCTCATACAATCTGAGCGAATCTTTGATCAGTATGTAAAATTTATAAAAATAAAAAAAATATATAGAGAAACTTATATAGCATAATACATCTCTAATTATATTGTTTATTTTTCATATAGGTATATAGAAATAAATAATGAACGGCAGAAATTATTGCAAGAACATGGAAGCGTTAAAAATTACTTAAACAACGTATTAAATGTGAAGGAAAAGCTTCTTGAAGAAGCAATTACAAAATATCCATCTATTTTACGAGTGAAATTAAAAAAATTGATGGAATTGATCGATTTGTTGCAACAAAGTGGTATAACGGGTGATGACGTAGTAAGTCATCCAAAAATTTTTTATTTTAATGTTGAAACGTTGCGTAAGCGAATAGCAATGTTGAAAGAAAACGGTATACCGCCAAGAATCACTTTATTAATATGTAAGCAAAGAATCATAGATCGATATGTAAAACACAGATCACACAATTCAAAAAATAGTAATTTAGATTAATATTTATTAAATTTTATTTCTTTAATTTAATATTTTTTATGAAATTATTATATCAAGTTATTTTTATTTTAAAAAATTACATTTTAAATATTGTCATTTATTAACTTCTGCAGTTTCTACTAACTTTTTATATTATTTATATATACATATTTATTTATTCTTTAATTCATACAAAATAAAAAAGATGTACAAATGTTACATATATATTGGAATATCTAAAAATAAAGAGTATAAAATATTGTTTGTTCACACATAGAGCTATTAAAAAAAATAAGGTGGAACGTAGCTTAATGCAACATTATGGAAATGTTAGTGAATATTTACAAAACAAATTGAAAGTCGATGATGAAATACTCAATTCAGTGGTCCAGAAAATACCAAGTATTTTACGGGTGAATATAGCAAAATTGGATCAGTTAATCAATATACTACATCAGAATAGTATTACTAGCGATGAAATATTACGGTATCCACGAATCTTTTATTTTAATACAGATACCATACAGAATCGAATTGCGATTTTAAAGAAAACAGATCTTGTTCCAAAACTTACTGTGCTCATACAATCTGAGCGAATCTTTGATCAGTATGTAAAATTTATAAAAATAAAAAAAATATATAGAGAAACTTATATAGCATAATACATCTCTAATTATATTGTTTATTTTTCATATAGGTATATAGAAATAAATAATGAACGGCAGAAATTATTGCAAGAACATGGAAGCGTTAAAAATTACTTAAACAACGTATTAAATGTGAAGGAAAAGCTTCTTGAAGAAGCAATTACAAAATATCCATCTATTTTACGAGTGAAATTAAAAAAATTGATGGAATTGATCGATTTGTTGCAACAAAGTGGTATAACGGGTGATGACGTAGTAAGTCATCCAAAAATTTTTTATTTTAATGTTGAAACGTTGCGTAAGCGAATAGCAATGTTGAAAGAAAACGGTATACCGCCAAGAATCACTTTATTAATATGTAAGCAAAGAATCATAGATCGATATGTAAAACACAGATCACACAATTCAAAAAATAGTAATTTAGATTAATATTTATTAAATTTTATTTCTTTAATTTAATTATTTTTATAACACGCAAACTGTAAAATACAAGAATGTATATATATATATATATATAAATTTTTAATATACAGTAAATGAGATGAAAAAAATGAGCAAACAAATCTTTTAACTATGTTACAAAAACAAACTTGGAAAGAAAAGGGCACTAGGAGTCCAGCGCAGAGTTTCTGTTATCTAAGAATTATTATATGTTTTAACTATGTTATTAATACAAACTTAGGATACATCGAATAAAACACTATTGATTATTGTTTATGTCACTAATACAGTGGTTTGGAATATTCCTTATAAATAGTTTACCTCGAGTTCATTTACTTCCTACATTTATGATCTGTAATTTAGGTAAAACTCCTGTTTAAAGGGAGGCATCTCCGACGACCTCGATCTTGTCATATGTTATCAAGGTCATGACCTCCAACAGATTTTAGCCATCGCTCGTCCTTCGTTAAAAAGTTATTAATCAAAGTTTCTAAAATAACATCTTATTTTTGCTATACACACATACGATATTAAGTACTATTCTACACTTCCTCCTGTTTAGAAACGTTAAACTTTCCACGCGAAACAACTCATCCCCCCCTCTCTGCAAGGGGCGCTCGACTTCTATGAATGTACTGTTGCACATGGGTTTCGACTTTCCACGCGAAACGAGCACTACCTCACACCAAAAAATGGATTTTTTTTCAGTAATGAAGCTCCCCGCAAGGGGGGGGTGAAACCTACTGCATTTACGCGAAGAGGTGATGCCTCGCCTAAATAAGAGTTTTACTATCAAACATGTTTATCTCACTTTAAGTTTTAAAAACGTACTATAATAGTTCAGCCATACAAAATATACTTATAATTTGAGCATGGTTGCTTTAAAATTAAAGTTGTTTGTTCACAACTACTATCTCCGATTGTGATGTTGGAAGCAAGCCAAAACAAACTTTTGCAAAATTATTATGAAAATGTTTTAATAACCCTTAGAATCGATATAGAACCCATTTATAAAATATATTGAAAATTCCTTTTGTTTCATTTAATTAATAAATAACCATATATCTGGGAATAAATTATACATCTATATTATATAACCAAAAACGAGAAATAACCTGTGTTCTCATAATCATAGCTATGATAAATTCAAATTAATAATAATTAATATAGAAATGAAAAATAAATACTAATAAACAAAGCTCTCGATATCAAAACAATAATAAGGATAAAGTAAAGGGCAAATCATTTAGAGAAAGTCGCTGATAAATAGAATTAAGAAATTAATACATATGAAAAAAATTAGAAATATAATTAAAACATTCAAACTGCAACATAATAGAAATTAATATAATTTCACTTCTCCCCGAAACAAGAAGTTAGTTTTTCTTTATATTTTACCGTGGAGTTTACATTACCGTGTCTCCTGATAAATCTATTCTAGCGATTACAAAAGTAAAAAAATATTTTTATTGAAATATAATTTATTTTCAGATTGGTCACAATATTTATTGTGTTTCCTCGCTTCTGACGTTATTAATTTCAGATAGTAATGATAAACAAACTGCAGAAGGAGAATAATTATTTTTACTTCTCTTCATTTTTGATGTCTAAAATATATAGAAATCCCTAAAACTTTACATCCCTAGTATATAATGACCATAGTTAAACACTATAATAAAATAGATACACGAATGATATTGTACCAATTCTTTTCTAATAAATGTATACACTTACAAAAATGATTAACTTTCTGAAGTCATCCAATCTTTTAAAAATACAAATGAAGGCACCTTTATTTATTTGTTTGCAGTACTTATGTTATGACCATTGATTTCTATCATTCCGCTGTTTCTGTAAAGCTCTAACAGACTCGATAAATGATTGTTGTTTACAACTGCAAAATTCTCATGGCATAATTTCTTTTTTAAAGAGGATCCTATTAAATCAGGATGACCAATTAACTTTGTTCCTATTCTTAAATCATCTAACCATATTGTATTTCCAATATGAAGGCGAACCTGTGAATAATTTATTGATATATTTTTCTGTTTTTATATTTTTCCTTCATAATTATAAAAAATTCTTACTTCTCCGATAATATAAGACCTTTCATCGAAATTTTCTGAAAACCACTTGTGCACCTGTTCATTAGTATAATGATTCCACTTATATTCTTCATCCCAAGGGACTAAATTAGCTAAAAATATTTCGACAACATGTGTTGGGAGACTTAATAATTCTTTTGGGACGTGCATTAGTTTACGTACCTAAAATACCGAATAATACATTTATTTAAAAAATAAGTTATAAATAACATTCTTCTCATTTAATATAAAAGGTCATTTACATTATCTTTTGAAAAATATGCAAATTGTCAAAAGAAAATGTTTAATATAGAATTCAAACATATAAAATAATCTTACATTAATGTATTCATGTATAATACCACTGTCGATACATCTTACATCTACGAAATTGTCAGTTTCAGAATATTTTCTGTCATATCTGATGCGTATGATCTGTACTCTTTTAAATGTATCGATAGTTTCTTCCAAAACGCAGATATCACCTACATTTGTCGAGGTAGACATTTTTCTATAATTGATTATTAAGAAAAATATATATATATTATTTTCTTATAATTATACTAAAAAAATATACTTTATAGAAATTCAAGGAATATACGGACAAATAATTTTTTTTTTAATTTGTGAAATTGCTCAATACATACCTGTTTTCGATATTGCCGTAATAACTTTGTATTTCACCTGTATTTTGCATATACTCTATGTTGGAAAATGTTAATTTTTTCGATTCATCGAAAAGTGGAATATGTTCAAGAATTCTTGCAGAAAAATGTGTCGTATCATGAATATATATCACCATCAACTTCACCTTATCACCTCTGTACAAACAAAATCTTAAAAACATCAAATAATGAATATGACTAATAAAAAATTACTTACATTTGTATATTTGTCATTGGCGTATCGATTTCAGGAAGGACACAATGTCTGAATACACAAACATTTCGTGTTTGGCAAAAACCAAATGATTTTACATTATCACATAGAGCATATACTTTCTTATTCTTTTCTAATTCAACAGCCTTTTGCTGGAAATATATTTCATTACAACTCAAAATAAAATGATAAAAATTTTGAGAATAAAACTAGCTTAATAGGATTAATATCTAACTTACCTCAATGGAGTCCAATACTTTCGGGTTTATTGCAATGTTCATTCGCTGTAGTACTCTTACTATACTTAATAACTGTATAATGTTGTTTTCGTCAGAAATAATACTAACTTTACAATTAGACGAATCCTTAAATAGTGATATTATTTATAGTGATATTAGTCGTAGAATATTTAAATATAAGCGTAATATAATTTGCTCGCAATAAAAAGAAAAAGTAATCTTAAGTTCTCATTTAATAATTACCTCCGTTAAATTATCTAAAAGTAAAGAAAACCTATAATTGAATTGATTTTTGAATTTTGATAATACAGAATAATGTATCAACCACTGAATATTAGTAAAATTGAGATCAGACAAAACGCAGTCAGTACATATAAGTACTGGATAGGAACCACATATACATGCTATCCAACTTTCTTGTAAAGCTGTAAAATACAAGAAATAATATACGTATAACTGTCAAAAAGATAAAAAAAATTAATTAAATCAACAACGAATAAAATATTAAGTATAAGATAAAGCATTTCTTAATGTGCTTAAAGTATCATTGTACCTCGTATAGAAGATGAATGCATTTTTTCATGAATTAGCAGAGTTTTCTTTGTCAAAATTAAAAAGGTATTTAAATTTTCAGCTTCTTCAGCATTCGTACATACTATCGCTGTTCTCATTGTAAGGTACTCATTCATTGACAGTAGATCTAACATTAAAATAATTTCGAAATATTAGAAATATATTTCGTGTATACAGGGTGTTTGAGAAGTAATGAAAAATTTTGTCGCATAGGGGTAGAATGGACTAAACTATGAAGAAAAATCCTCTACCATTTTACAATTTTCGCAATAGTTAAGATGTTAATTTATAAAAATATCTAAATTCGCCCGGTTCACCACCAAATGCAAGCGCGCGGCTGAATACGACTGCCCAGCGAGACGCGCCGCGCGCGTTCGCCATCACTAAACACGCGTTGTTTATAACAAGCGGCAATGGTCGTCGTCGATAGACAATGTCCATTGCCGCGCGGCGCGTTTCACTGAACAGTCGTATTCAGCCGCGCGCTTGAATTTGTCAGTGGATCGGGTGAATTTAGATATTTTTATAAATTAATATCTCGTTAACTGTTGCGAAAATTGTAAAATGGTAGAGGACTTTTCTTCTTAGTTTAGTCCATTCTACTCCTTATGCAACAAAATTTTTCATTGCTTCTCAAACACCCTGTATATAATTAATAAATGCTGATACAGGCAAACGTTCATATTTATAAGTTTTTTACCGAATATTTTTTTATTCTTGTATCCAGTAGTCAAATGGTACAGTTTTATATTTACAGATTTAAAAACCACAGCCTCTATAAATGACGCGATGCATATATATGGATTATACATCGCTAAATGTACAAATTTTTTAATCTCAGACGTCCAGTTTGTTGCAGATACAATTATCTGCAATATTGGTCTATCGTTCTCTTGTGGTTCACGGTTCTCGATTATCTTGTGTTTTTTGAAAAGTTCTCCCACCTATCAAAAAAATATATTAAGAAATCTTTAAAAATTTTATCTTTCTATGATAAAGTAATACTAAATACATTACAAGTGTTCACTGACCGCATTGTAATATTTATCCAAAATTACATCAGCATTGTCAAGTATTAAATAAGAAAGTCCATCAAATGATAATATACCTTTATTTTTATTTAAAAATCGAATTAGAAATTGCGGTGTAGTCACTAAAATTTGACAGCCATTGTATATCATTGCCTGAAAAAAAACAAAAATGAGTAGCTTCTTACATTTACTTTACCTTTTTAATACAACAATAATCGGCGTTTAGTATCACTAAATCGTTGATAAGGCGTGATAGCATTTGTGGTTATGCAGAAATCTTCATATATCTTTTTGTATCTATTGGTAACAGAAGACATTTAAAATACGTTTAAATAAAAAATTATGAAATATAAGTTACTTTATTAGTAGACAAACAAATTACTAAAATTTAATTTAGAAAAATTAGTTCAATAAACATTTCGAAGTGTGATATTATATCTGAACCAACATTATATTTTCCGTAATATGTGCTATGTCTTTTGTCATTTTTGTTTCATACAACGTAATATTTTTTTTAAACTAATGGTAATAAAAATATATTTTTTTTTTGTTAGATAAAATGATTGATGCGCAGTCATACGTGAACGCTTAGCGGCTATTGACGATCATCCCAAAAAAATTAAAAAGATTAAACATTATTGTGAAAATATTGATAAATTTACCGCTACTGATCTATCCGACTTGCCATTAAATGCAGCAACAGATCTTATATTGTTAAAAGCCTGTAGAAACGACTCGCACAAAGTTTGAACGGAAATTACTTCATAAGACGAGGCACATAAAATTAATGCTAACGGCTGAGTTGCACTACGTATTTCCTAAAACAAATATTAGTTATATCAATTAAAATAAATATTTTATACACATGCCATGTATGCATATGTAGATTTTATTTATATAAATTTTGAAGAAAAATATTTTGCTTGTGCTATACACTTGAAAAGATGATTAAAGACATTAAGTTCTTTATAGTATTCATATAAAATATGAAAAATATATTACATTTAGACGCATAACTATTTGACCGCATACAGCCATTACACATCCGGTTGTTTTACCGCTCTGTGTTGATCCAATAGCAACAACGTTTAATCCATTGTTTATAGCTGGCCATATATAAGACTGAAGTTTTCTTGGCCTGGAAGATTTCAAGACCTCATTCCAACCCTACAGAATAAAAACAGAAAGATATTTCAAACTATATTCTTACTACACTCTTAATTATTCAAAATTACATTTATACCTGATGTATTCCTTTGGGATATCTGAGGTCTGTAATATCATTTAAAATGTCACAGTCTATTGAGCTCTGTACTAAAATCTTCTCACTAATAACAAAGATCAGAATTATAAGGAACATGAGTATCTACATATATATTATGTTAATTACATATATACTTATATAAACATTTACCTCAGAAAGAATTTTGTATGAGAATTAGTTTTACTGATACGTATTACAGTGTTTCGTTTTTCTCTATTTTTCGAGAATTTTGCGTATAAAATGTACCATCGTTTTTCTTTAAGCTGTGAGTGTGTTTCAACTAGTTTCAATAATTCTAGATATCAATCAAATTATAAAATTATATGTTATTAGAATATTATTTTAATAGATTTATTATAGGAAAATCTTATGTGTGAAATACACATTTACATACCTCCTTCTATATAGAGTGCATAATGATGAAAAAACAAAGTTTCACTTAATGAAATGACAACATTATTAATGATGAAATAAAATTCTCCATATTCTATTCCATTATTTTTGTTTGTGGTTAAATGATCAAAGTATACAATTTTACATGCACTGAGAAGATTTTTTGTAAATTGAATTGCTTTTTCGGTCCACTTTTCTGCAACACTTCGGATAATTGCAATCTTTTGAATGTTTTTATTTTATTAGACATCACATTGATGCATGCTATTTAGCTTTTTGTTTTTTTCTTTCTACTACTTGCTTAAATTGTTTGCTTGCTTATAAATATGATAATATAATGCATATATATATATATATATATATATGCATACAATTAATATTACATTGCTACTATAACTCCTCAATAGACACAACCATAGATATATATCACATTTATTGACAAAGCTATAAAAACATATTGTGATAGCCGTTCATGAAGTAAAGTACAGTAAAAGAATCAATCGGCATCTTGCAGAAAAGGCCACAATAAACTTCAAATATTGATTTAACAGTGCTTTTTGAGAAGTATATAGATTAAAAAAATGACTATAACAAAGAAAACTTACACTGCTATAGTATTGTAACCATTTAAAATGGCGCTTTTCTTCATGCAAATTGGCAAAATACCATATACACCAACAGTTTTTGTTAAATATCTATCAGGAATAAAATTTTTTGGAAGTATATGAAATTTATCCCTAGTTAATCCAATACTAATTCCATGATCCACTAGAAGAATTATATAATGTATCTCACATTCCTTTTTAATACAAGTTATTAAACCTTGACAAATACATGATGGTAATTTTATCTCAGCTTTAATACTATCTTGTATAAGAACCATCTATGAGATAAATATGAAGATTAATCACATCTTATATTATAAGAAATCCAATTTGTATAAGATAATTACACTTAACATTTGCAATACAGTAAAACTTACAAAAATAAGATAATTATACAGTAAAACTTACATCACCAATTTTAGCATCTTTTGTATTAGATTTTGTCTCTAAAAATTCATTTGTTTTCATAAAACTCAATAATCTTTCCTCAATCATACAAAGTTTATCTGTATGCTTTTCAATTTCATAAGCTCTCATGCAATATGGGTTGTTTACATTTGTTATTTTTAATATCTTGGCTGTAGTAGGAATGGTATCTAAAACCAAACAAAATACAGATATATATATATAATTAAATAATTCAATTTATTTAACATACCATTGTTATAAATATTCAGTTTATGAATATTACCTTGATGCTCATAAAATTTCATCTTTTGAGAAGATTTATATTTCTGAAAAATTTGTAATACTTTACAATCTCATTAAAAAATTTTTATTATTTAATTTGGCTCACTATAACTCATAATACAGTTACCTTTCTACTTTTTTATATACATGTTTTTGTTTTGTTTGCCTGTCAAGCTTTTATCTTACCTTTGGTTTGTTGTACGTAGTTTCTATTGTTTCAATAGGAACTTTCTTTATAACAGAAACTGGCATTGTTTAGCAGATTTATAAAAAAAACTGTTTACAATTGTAAGCTATTTCCTTCAATCTCTTTTCAAATCTTTGACAACAAGAACTTCAAACTTCATCAACTTTTTAAAATAAAACCATAAATACCTGCACAAATTTGTCACATGTAAACATTTTTCTTGAAAAATTTATTTAATAAATAAAATTACAAAAAGAATATAATTTTGACAATAACGTGCTAATTTGCAAAGGTTTTAATTTGCAACAATTCACATAATTTGAAACAGCACAACACCATGGTAGGAGCACAAGGCCTCTGCACACAGTCGGTAATACTGTCAGTATTAATGAATATTGACAATATTATTGATCGTGTGTGTGGTTAATATTGATGGATTGACATAGAATACTGACAATGATTTGGATTTGAATACATATTTTTTCCTTAAAATCCATGTCGCCATAGATAATAATATACGTCAAACCACATCAAACTGAAATAAAATATTGTTAATAATACTGATCGTTTTTAAGATTGTAAAAACTAATGTATACTGTCAGTAATACTGATTCAGTATTACTAACTGTGTAGGGAGGCCTATATATTTATAAGATGGACCCATTGCATGTTCACATGATAGAAGTGAAGATAACATATCAGTGAGAATAATTAGTGAGAACAAAAACAACGGTTAAGTATCTCTATCATTTTCTCCATTACTGTGAATATGCGTAAGTACGTAAGAAAAGAAAATAGAGGTGCTATTTACTCCGCTCACCTCAAAAATCGATGTTATTATACTCATTCAACGCATTTTTGCATAAAACGAAAGAATCTGGCAGAAAAAAGCGTCGCTCTGTCCCGCGAATTAAAATATTAATCGTTAAAGATCACGATTATTCAGGTTAGGAAATCTGTCACGGTCAAGTAGTAACACTGCGATGCGAGCATGTGCTGCGGTCACGTTTTTTCATACTCTGTAGCTACACGCGCATGCGTGCAAATTCTCTGATCTACAAACACAAAGAATTATCAAAATAGAGGTTATCCTGAGAAATAGAGAAACCCCTGTTAAGAACAAAAATAGTCAATAGCAAATCACTGCGAACAGCACGATCTTTGATGATCTTCTATGACCATAAATGGGGGACACTTCTCTTTTCATCAGAAAACGGAATTTTCAAATAGGTCATCTCTTTCTTTTTCTCTAGCCTTAACACTATTTCGAAATCGTACTTTTGGCGTACCTTAGGTACAAGCCCAGTAAATCCTCGTTACATTCAATTACATCTCAAGTACAGTAGATTATCGATATCACAGAACTTCACACAATAGATGAAGAAACACGGAAAAGAGACGACTACAGAAATAGCACGGCTGATAATAGGCTGTTTTTTATTGCTGAACTTTTGCACTAGTTCATCTTTCTTCCTTTTCTCTCCAGGAGAAGGGAAAAGGAAAAAAGATGAACTGGTGCAAAAGTTCAGCAATAAAGAACAGACCTATTATAATGTGTCGAGTCGACTGCAGAAGCCGATAACGAAACTGTAAGTTTTTAATTTTCTTCCGTTTTTCGTATTGAAATGTAGCTAGCACCCTCCGTTTTTGTCGATATTTTAATTATGCAGAAGGATTTTTCCATCCGTAAATGCAATTAAGAGAAACGAGTTTTTAACTAAGTAATGATAAAACAGGCACTCCAGCATCCCCTTAATGTGACTAGTATTGAATAGAATTCCATCGAACTCTGTGTTTAAAAAACAATGGATAGAGGCACTTCTTGCTGCTAGTCATAGTGAAGACAAAAATAAAAAAATATAGTAAAATATGTAGCCTGCACTTTTTACAACAGATTGCATATTCCATCTTTTCTTTTCTCTCTTCTTTGTCATATTCCATCTCTTTCTTTTTTCCTGTTTTACCATCGAATGTACACGGTTCTCTTTGCTATCTTACGGAAAAGATACAAAGAGTGGAGGTAGCAATCCATGGTTATATAGTCAAAGTGTAAACTACATTTTGATTATGCATAGATCCCAGCTGATCTTTTCATAATTACTATTCTCACAATTACTTTCATGGTTCCTCTTTTTATAAAATTTTTAATGTACTTGGAATAGTAAAGGTTAATTTGCAATTAAACATGTTAATAATCGGTGTAAATGATTTCTGATATTAAATTAACATATGAAATAGGAAAAAAAATTGTTAATTTACTATTTTTATTATTAATATTGTTAATATAAAATTTAATTCTACTATAAATAGTCGAAAAAATAAAATAAAGTAGTGGATATCCATTGTTTAAGAAAATATTAATAATCAAACGGATTATTTTATCTACAACTCCATAAATTACATCTGACAAATTAATTTTTGCTTAAAAAAAAATAATATATAAGGGAAGTAGAACAAAAGCTCATATTGCCTTTATACATACATGAATGTTTTTTTATAATATTATTATTGTTACTCGAAAAATTTAATTTTTTATATAAACAGAAAAAAAATTATTTTCATATATTTTTATATTTATTTTATTATCGAATATTAGTTCTGTACAAAACGTAAAGAAGGTCTAGGAAAAATAATAAATCTTAAACGTACAAATGAGAAAATGCATTTATTCACGTACGAAAGGGATGCAAAAGGAAATTACAAGAAATTTACGCGTATACAACACTAAATGCATTTACCACCTACTTCGAGCTACCAATCGATCTTTTTTCGCTTACGGTGAATTGCATAGCACTACAATCGCGGCCCGTTAGAGAGAGAGTATCGGTTAGTGTAATAATTATAAATAATAAACGTACGACGAACGGAGAAAATACGCGATGCGCGTGGAATATCATCGCGTTTAAAATTATTGTACTTTTTATGTACGATGTGATGGTCTGCTCGCCCGAATCCGTTCACGGTTGGATCCTTTTATAAACGGATTCCTGGATTTCGGGATGCAACAAAATTGAGAAGCTCATCGCTGTCCTCACACACAAAGGGTTTTACATGGTGGCAGGCCACATCGTGCCACTTGATGCCGTCATTATAGAAATTGTTTAAGATGGACAGGCAGGACTCGTCGTTACCCTAGAAATGAACGAAATTGAATAAGACCTGAAATTTAAAGTTTCCTTCGGAAAAAGGTAGTTGAAATAACGCGTTTCTAGCAAACCTTTCTTTTAAAGTTCGTACAGAAAAAAATCGATTTTACTGAAGTACCTAAAAATTTAGATAGATACAAATCTGAAAATAATTTTAAATTATCAAAATAATTATGTAGAATGCTCAAACTTATGTTATTAGAATATAAAAACTTCTTGTAGTATTTTTCTTACTTTGAGATTCCTACGTTAATTACTTTCATGGTCTAACAAAATTATTTTCAGATTTGTATTTACCTAAATTTTTAGATACTTTAGCAACCATTATTTTTCTTCGGTGTATTCTTAGAACTTAATGCATCCCACAAATCATTCCAATAATATTACATTAATATTATACATTGTTTATTACAATAATATTATACATCGTTTAGCAATATTACAATAACCTTGCATCAACGGTATTGCAAGTTTCTGTGCTGAATTGTTGTTACATACGTTTAATTAAAGGACATCATTAAAATACTTTATTTGATTTAACTTATTAAAACTAATGGTGAGTTACACAATTTTGAAGTAAGAAAATGGAGTTTCCTATATTATGATTACAAATAATTCTTTGCATTATAAATATATATTAGTAAAATTGAAATTTATTTTATATACTTCTTTGTATGTAACATCAAAAAGTAAAAAAAGCTTTTAAGAAACAAAGTAAAATTCTAAAATTTTAAAAATATATCATTTTCTCAAGATATTTTTATAAAATTTTGAAAGATCAAGAGTTACATGATTTTAAGTAGATAACTTTTATATCTAATTGATAGTGCGAAGTCATGAGAACGAGACGCTAGTAAAAATTACTAAAGGTCACGTATATGACGGCACTAATAAATCCAGAGATGCCAAAAGCACTTTCACTCTAATACCTTACGAGAATATAAATCAGAGTTTCATAGGGTACATCGGTGCTGAAGGAAAAGACGTTGCAATCGGATGCCATGCTCAGTGAAATTACTATGAGACCTCTTTTATGTTTTCGAATTTATTAAAAATCTCTTTTAAAATGATTTATTGTAAAATATATTAAATATATTAAAAATTAAAAATATGTAAAAATAAAATAAAATATAATTGCTAAATATGTGTAAGAGTTTGCACGAATTAAGCCGTAATCATACTAATCATTGTGTGATTATGATTAACAATTCGCAACTTACTTTTCAACCAACCAAAATAAAGTATCAATTGCTTTGTTCTAACTGGTTTAAAAGTAATTCTCATTCGTCAATCACAATCGCGCAATGGCTAGCGTGATTATGGTTTTACGTCCATTGTACATATGTAACTATCTATAAGTACTCCAAAATAAAGTTTTCTTGATAAAAGTAAACTTTACCTGTGCAGCCTCACGGTTGTCTGGTTGCGGTTGACCATATCCTCCAGTGTTGCTCCAGTCACCAGAGTTACGTTGGGTCGTTGGTCCAATCTTGGCACCAGATCCAGACCAGAACCATCCGTTAATGTTCTGGGGCTGAAGATCAGGTCGATCGCAGCCGTTGAAATTGCACTTACGGCCCGATGTCCAAATATACCTCACGTTTCCTGATTGAATTTATTAATTTTTTAGTTAAACAACTCAAAATGAAGAAACTGGGATTGTCGCTGTAATTAGTACGCTACATATTGATATAATACAAAAACTATATAATTAACCAATGTTTAAAAAATTCATGTTTGATACATATATTGACTGATCTATGAATGTTCCATGAATTATTTTATTGGTTACTGAACATATAAAGATAAACTTAAGGAAGCCTTAAATATGAGACCAGAACTATATGAATACGGGCATTAGTCATATAGTAAAAGTAATTTTTTTAATTAAAATACTTATACCTTTGTTCAACGTGAACCGGGATTAAAAAAGAATATTCTAGGATGGTGCAAGAGATTTTCGTGTAGGCTCGTAGAAGAAATAATTAAATTTCTCATTGTCTGTGAATAATGGGGATGTAAGTTAAATCGTAAGATTGACCTTACAATCTCTAAATGATAGCTCGCAAATGCATTGATTATCTTCACCCGGACGTCCGCATCACTCTGACCGCAATAGGAACTCCGTTCTTTAATTATAAAATTATTCGAAATGTGACAATAAAATTTAAATGAGAATCAAGAAAACGCGGATAAATAGCTATCATTTTCTTAATAAGGCCGGATGTCTTAATCAAATAACGCTTTATTATTCGAATAATAGCACGAGCAACCTCGTATAAAATGTCACGTCCAACTTGATACATCATTAAGAAAAAATACTGATTCACGTACCTGTAATCCGTTACATGATATAATTGATCTGTGATATAAACTACAGAAATTAACATACGTAAAACTTTTTTAAAATAATTCTGTCCAAATCTTATAAATTTGTATTCGACATTTTTATATACACGCGCGTAAATATATTTTGAGATGAATTGTAATAAATTCAAAATATTCAAATAACGCGATTGCTTCTTAAGTTTGCGCGCATTTCAGCCCGCAGAGTTTCGCGTGAATTAATTAAGATAAAACGAAACGATAGAAATGTTAAACTTTTCGAAAGCATCGAACTTGTGTTTCACCAACGTGCTGTTAGGCACCACGAATTACACTTCGCTTAACATTTCCTTATTGTATCCCGAAGAACTATCTGCGGTTTTCTGGCACGCGGAATCAGTTTTGGTCTATCAGGTAATTAAACAAATTGCATTTGCATTTGGATATATTTGGATATAACTCGTTTATGTTACTAATTATTGGCTTGATTAATAATCTAAATTAATTTAATAGTTAATTTATTAAGTTTTATTATTTTACACTATTCTTTCCTCTATATCATTTTTATGTTATATTGCTATTAAAGAAAAAAATCTGTAAATTTATATAAATAACTAATATACGACGGTGCATATGATACCTATATAATACTTATCTAAAATGAGAGTTTAAAAAGTATATAAAAGAAATTTTGTTTAAGGAATTACTAATTAAATAAGAAATTAATTAGAATTTTTTAATTTCTTGACCTACAACTATAGAGAAAAGGAAACGAGACAATCCAGGAAAAAAAGCGTACAAAACTTTAGTTAAAAATTCTGAATTATTATATAAAAGCTGTATTATCAAAATCCAAAATTATTAAACGAAGAATATATAATGTTTTAAATATAAACAATTATAAAAATTACAAGAGTTGTAATTACAAGACTTAGCAATTTTGAACATGTAGATCGCTAAAATGAGACGTCGATAGAAAAATCAGAGCTTTCCATATCATATATTATTCAACATTGCTTGCTTGAAACTCAGACGTTGAGAGTAATAACCGCTTTAGTAGCAACAAGCATCTCGTTATCGTCAACGATTCACCAGAATTCAGTCTCAGAAGACAAATCGTTAAATTGCAGATACCTACATAAAGTCCCTTTCACGTCAGTTCCTTTTTCTGAACGGGGCATCAACGGTCAAGTGAAAGTGACCCGCTTCGCCGAGTATAGGGGTATATACACGTGAGCATCTAGTCACCCGCGAATCTAAGTTGCAACTCGAATTCCTCGCTGAGCAGCCGGCAGGATCATAGGTCGTACAGAAATGACGAAGAGAAATGACGAGTAGTCACTATCATTGCGCCACCAAATTCGCGGACGCGCCTAATCGGACTATACTCATCCCGCAAGACTTAATCGCGCGACAATTTTATTGTGTAATCAGATCTTAAATTGACCGAAGAGGATCCGCTTTTACTTCTCACGCGCTCGGCGCAACGTTTACTTTGTTAGATTCGCAGGACTGTCTGGAGATTACGGCGCGGAAAATTTCTCTCGCGAACAAGATGCGAAATTAGCGACACTAATGAGAGATTCCATGTCACTCGCGTCTCTCGAACTCGCGTTTCTGACGCGGTTCTTGAAAAGAATGGCGAGATTATATTGTAGCAACCGAATTTCACTACGACAAAGCGTACCATATTTAAAATATGCTTGAATGCACTTTGAAAAATTGCGAAATACGATATTGATTACTGTATCGTGATTGTAAATGGGAAATATTATTTCTATTATACCATTCTATCTCACACGTAATTTCGTATATAAATTCTACGGTAACGGTACTCTGTAATTTGAATTTCTGAGTAAATCACCACAAAACTAACTGATTTGCATTAATTATGCCGATAGTTTTCCGGTAGTCTTCGTTTTTTTTACGGATAACAAGTTGAAGCGGTTAAAGATGATATAATCAGAGATGGTATGCTTCGTATTTTTACAGGGTAGAAGTTGCGAGAAGAATGTATAAACATTTTATTAATACATCATTGACATACTTTAGATTATAAAATCCTCAATAGAGTCGAGTGTAATTAATAATTGTTCTTTAATATCTTTACGATTTATTGACTGTCTGATTATTCTTGGAGATTGTCATCACGGATGTAGGAGGGATCAGAATAATGATCAAACAGTTTTATAACAATATATATTAATAACCGTATAAGCAGTATTGAATATTAATATCGAATATTAATTTCTCTCTATAATTAAAAGGATACTTAACAGATTATCGAAGAATTAAATTTAATTTTCAACTTGATTACGATCAAAGATTGACATGACAAAAAATTTGTCAATAATTTATCAATTATTATAGTTTATCAATTATTTTCACAAGAGTTAACATTAATTCGCATTATGTGTTTTTAATTGCTTATGGAAACCAGTCACGCTTTGATAATTTTATTAAGGAATCGTCAAAAGTCATCAGGGGGGATTTATTATTAAAGCTTGACGCGACAGTGATTAGCTACCTGTTACATTGCATCACTCAAATATAACCTACGATTAATTTTACCATTTATCGAGCCTTCGATTGTCGAAACCAATAATTCGCAAATCGGTTTTTTCTCAAACAGAAATTTTATTCGCGAAGAGAGGATTACATAAGACAGCAAATCTTTATAAGGAATCAAAGTACGGATTGTAACAAAAAGTCAGTATATTTCAAGTCTGTCATCGCTCACCTCTTGCTAATCTCTGCTTGATAAATTCGTTCTCCTGAGGTGTCTCCAGAGACACGGCGTCCATGCAATGACGACGGCAGATGTTGCGAGCATCCAGCCAGTCCACCTCGAGATTCCTAGTTGGCAGATGTTCCCAGCTGAAGAAGTACGAGTGTACAACCCCCCTGCCATCCCTGTACGTCGAGTGACGGACGCCTGGAAAATGAATACATTAATGAATCATAATATCGTCAATCGTGATTGTATTTGTAATAATTGATTTTTCTGGACATGACTTTGTCATCAATTCACAGAAATCTATTTTACATTATAATATATAAAATAAAAAGATATAAAATATTATATTTATAATATAAAAAAATATATAAATCTTTCGTCTAATGTCGTCGAAGTGAATTTACAATAAAACCGTATTTATGTTGGAAACGGTTTACTCAAGCTTCGTAAAAATTTTGTGTTGAATTTTTCGTGTTAAAACGTAAATACTAAAATAAATTAATAAAAAATGTGTTAACTTTCTTTTAAATAGTATTTGCGTTATCTTTTCATATATTCATCTTATGTTAAACAAATACAAAAATTTGAGTTGATCGTTTTTGAGATACATAAAATTAATATTAAATTTAACATATAATAAATTTTCCACAGCAGTATGATATATCACCCGTTCGTAGAAACATTTCAAAGAATTTAAAACTTGTTGGATAAAGCCGTCAAACAATTTCAGGATCGCAAAGTTGCATTTAATTACAGAAGATTATAAATGGAACAAATCCTACGCGCAATCGTTTGATGGCTAACGCGAGTCAGTTCACACAAAGCGAGTTATGACACACAACAAACGTATTCATGAATGAAGAGCATCTTGCAATCGTCCTCTTTTTTCTCTGTTTTTTTTTTTTTTTCTTTGAGTATACGATTTCCAACGATTTTCCACTTAGTTAGCCGTGCAGCCGCCAAGTTAAAGTGTGATTACGAAATGTCACTAGAAATACTTACGGTTCGCGCAACTTCGCGGGTCAGGCAAGGCTAAACGACGCTGGGCACTCACGGCAACAACGCCGAGGAGGAGCAAATAGATGGCCCTCATATTCCCGGACCTTGAACAGAAGAAGAGAACGTTCGTTTATAAAAAAAAAAATTACGCAAGATACATAAGCGTCGAATCTTTGGGCGATTTATTGATGGATTTAATGACATAAACAGTCATTTAAGGTTTCCACTCGGATGTTAAAAAGTTTCCAAGTCATTCTGCAAATTCATTATTTATCTTGTAAAATTTGTGATTATCAGATTTCACGAATTAAATTTTTATGAAGTGTTTTTATCTATATTTTATCATTTATTTATATTACTATCATCAAAGTAAAGTACGTTTGATTTTTATTATCGCAATGTAATTGGGAAAATTATTTTAGCTACATAGAACTATTACATTGCCTTATACAAAATTCCTAAATATATTTCATATTCTAAATCTGTTATCTGTAAATGAATGCGATCGTTAATCAATACGATGCCGCAATTTCATGTAGCGCGCGTTACATCCGCAATGAAACGTGCCTGGGAGTGTTATTGTATGTACGCTTAACGTAATGGAAGCGAAAATTATTATTCTAAATCACGATCGGTTTAAAAAACTATATAAAATTCGAAAAATTATGCATTTTAAATACATTTCAAAAATATAATTAAATTCCTTATAGAAAGCTCTAGCTTTCTCCGTTTTAAGAAAAAAAAATACATATAAAAATAAAGCTGTATAACAATAGACCTTTTACTACGTTCAATGATTGATTTAAGAATTCATATTTATGAAAAGCTATTTCAAAGAATCTGTCGGTAGAAAGAAGAACGCTTCGTGTTCTAAATTCAGGGAAACAAAAGAGCTCTCCCACACTTGGATAATAGTGTAAAACTTCGTACTACTTTTTATGTATACTCTGCACGGCATAATTATGCGAATATTAAAACTTCTTCAACTTTACGAAGTTTCGCTTGCTTCTAATCACGAGAAAATCAGCTTCTTGCTCATTGCAACGTTTAGTTTCGCTCGTTGAAAAATATACCGAAGATATAATTAGAAATTCAAGCCTACTGGAAAGCCTTGACAGTAGGAGTTCCAACATGCATGCTTTTGTGCAGATGCTGATTACGTACAATTCAGGGCACTCGACAGAAATACCGAGCCACGTTGGTGTCGTACACCAAGGTAGTATTATGGAATCCTTAAGAAAGTCGACAATTCTTTGAAACGGGAACGCTGAACATTTGCCAACGCCATTGAGCGTGTTCAGCAGTTCGAGGTTACGGGGTTACAAGGCTTTTATGATGCTCGCATGTACTGAATTTGCAACAGACACAAATCCTAATTATATTAAAATTTTTTAGACAGTCTCTCAAATCTTTTTTATATAATTTTTAAAATATCCTTTCGTATCTTTTTCAAATTATAGCAATTATTCACATAAATTGTACGAGAAAAACTAAATTTATTAAATAGCGAATTAAATAATAAATAATAAAAGACTTGACATCATCAAGTTGTACATGTACATTTTTTATAAAATATTTTTAAGAAAATCATAGAAATTATATATTTTTGATTAACATTTTGTAGAGATAATTATTTTGTATAAAAAATCCATTTCTTAAAAAGTGATATTCCATAGAATTGTTCCATGTACTATAAAATATAAATTATTATTAAAATAGCACACTTTCGATTAATCAGTTTTCTAATTCGATTTAATTTTAACAAAGCAAAATGACTAGCGCATCGAATTATAACTTCCGGATTGATCTCGTGCGACACGTAAATGTCGACGCTTCGTGATGGTTTTACTAATGACTGTCATCCGTCGCGGCGGACAAATGCGAAGCGAACCACTTTCTAGAAGAGCAAACGGCACGAAGCCGTTAGCAAAATGCGTTCATAGACCGAATAAAAACCATTCTACAGTTTTCCTAATCATTGTGCTGACTGCTAATCTTTGGTTCGAAAAGTGACATTTCGCTCGGTTTTAGAAGTTCTCGAAGAAAAACGTGTTGTATTTTCTCGCAATCTCTTAATTTATCAGTAACCTAAATTCACAAGTCGATAAATGAATATATACTTTCAAATAATCCTTAAAAAAACAAAGCTTTCACATCAGATACGTTCGAATCGAATAAAATTAGAAAAAGTGATTATTTTTTTAACTGTACTATCAAATTAAATTAACTTATAATAATTTAATGGAATTTAAATAAAGTATTAATAAATTACAAGATATTTTTTAATTTGTAAAAATAATTATAAGAGTGGCTGATTTATTTGATCTGTAATGAAGAAGCAAGAAAATAAATTTTCATGCAATTACCAATAGAAAGTAAAGATTGTGAGGTCACAAGAAAGTTTATGTAAGAGGCGCTAGCAAAAGTTAAATACTGAATTATTTATTATTAATTATCTAGTTTAACAAACTCTCATCTCTAAGTACACAATAATAATGTATGATGACTTGAACTTGCCAATTTAACAGCATTCATGTATTCATCGCCCCATCGTCATACATCACGACTTCTTCTTTTACTTCTGCCAATACATTACGAAGACAATGAGTAGTTTTTCACGTGCTGAAATGTGCAACTTGACATAAAGATAAATGGTGATTTCGCATTAGAATAAACAGCAATATTCATGAGACGTTGATGACGAAACGCGAGCAAAAGAATATCTCGCCTTAGATTAACACAATAAAATCGTGGACCAAATGACACAGTCAAATTTTTCGACGTAAAATTAGGAGAAACATTCCCTGCAAATCTCTCTATTTTTTATTTATCTTTCACTTAGGTGATAGAGCAATCCGTACTATTTTCTTCGTGCACTAAATCGCTAATTAAGAATGGAAGCGAAAGAATTATCATGTGGCAGTAATTAACGTACTTTGACACGACGGTGTATACACTATTAAATGTATACCGCGTGAAATGGAGTGTCCAGATTGAAAGTTAATAACTCACTAGAATAGAGGTTGATGGGTTATGAGAGCCGCAGGCAATATTTATAACAACATAAAACATCGCGTTGAATATAATGGTATAATAGATTCTGGCGGATGAGACCGGAGAAAGGATATAAAGGGGAGTAACGAATGCATCAAATAAATTGAAGATAAAACTTAACATCTCTTTCACGTATAGTCTTCTTAATTTTATATTTGCTATTACGTTACTTTCGCTCCATTTCACTTTTAAAGACTTAAGTTAATTGGCCTTTCTCTTTTATACAGAATTAAATTAATGCTCCAAAAAAGTGTATTTTGTTTCTGCATTTTATAATTATTAATACATAACTTTCATATATTTTTATAATTATTAATATATAGCTTTCATTTTTTTTTCTAAATAAGCTAAAATATACTGTGTGAAAAATTTGAGGCGTTCAAAGACTGATGCTTTAATTCTGCTGTACAATAGGTAATAATTAAAAATGTTTATTAAGATTAGAGTACCATGAAAATATGAGCATACTACGATTGCATCACAATTGGAAGAACAAGAAATATCCACGTCTGTTAATTCTTTTATGCCACGCTTCTTTAACAAGCTAATTGATTGCATTTATCTTTTTGTATACTTTTACAAACATACTTAGCGACAAAACTATTAAATACTCGTCAATGTGTACTTTTATCATAAGATCTGTATAATGTATCAGGTGAAGGGATTAACGATGTCTTAATAAAACATTATTAGACCTCTTCTCTCCAGATGTCAATTCAATCTTCTAAGTGTCATAGCATTGACATAATCAACAATTGTCGAATGATTTCAGCGAATAATCTCTTTTTTGTTGGTATTACAAAATCTCTTGACCGTTGCATCACTTAAGGTCACCTAGCGATCTTACATCAACGGCTATCCCGATACTTCACTGAGACGATGCATGCATAGAATGTCATAATTTTTTGATGAGAAATACGAAAGAGAGAAAGAGAACAGGAGAATATATTCTTAACGTTACGAACAGATGCTATAGATTTGGTCGCATCCAATCTGGTTGTGTAAAATCTATTGCAAAAGAGCTTTTCTATGTATGAGTACCTCATTAATGTGTCCTCGCTCACACCTACGCAATTTTCCTCTCTAAAACGCATCTTCTTTCAAAAGCAGCCGTTTTCCTTTTTCTTATTCTGTACAATGCAGTTTTGACGCAACTAACGTTTTCTGTTCAAAGAGTATATTTACAAAGAATATATTTACATTTTATTTTACATCATGTAGTTTTATTTAAAACAAAAAATTTAAAAATTAAGGCTGAAAATTGATTGATTTAAAAAATAATATGCATACAAGCGATAAAAAGTACACCGTAGAAAAATTTAATACGTTACTTATTCTTTCTCTAAATATATATTTATTTGTTTAGAGAGTATGCAAATCATGTACCAACATGTAAAAATTAAAGTCAAGTTGAATCAAAACTCGTGCTGTATAAAATATACGAAAATTTACGGTGAGTTGCTAGTTCCTCGTGTGTGCACGTGTGAATCATAATACGCGGCATGCATAATTTACGCACGATGATCGTGTTAAGTAACTTACGGATGACGCAGAGCATGGCTAAAAAAAGAAAAAAGATCGGTCGACTTTAACCAGGGTCCAGTGACCCTATGACCACGTAAGCTGCTGCATTCTTTACGCGTCGATCAGTTCGCTCGTTAAGGAAATTACAGTGTTGCTTTTCCGCAGTTAGGAGTAGTTCCTGATCAAATTTACGTCTTCCTAAAAGTTACACGTAACAATCTAGAATAAGAATTATAGTTCCCTGCTTTTTTATAGATCTAATCATTAGCTGTAGCAGCTTCTAACTGAGACTCTTCTCACGTACATTATCGTCTTTCATTATATTCAAACGCGGAAGCACACCGACGTTACAACGTATCCCTATTATGTAAAACAACGGCAACTAATTAATGTAATTCTAAGGTAATTCATTGTGGCTCATCATTATATTGTTCCTCACAAATCGCGAGATACGACATTTCATCAGTTCTTTAAAAATAGATAGGGATGTTACATAATGACAATTACATTGTATATACAATTACAT